AGATTCTGCTACTTATAGAAAATTTAGAAATGAAAGAACTGATCACATGTTATCTTTTCTTTTCTTTTAGGGCAAGTTAAAGTCTTCAGAGCTCTGTATACATTTGAACCCAGAACTGTAAGTATTCAGTTTCTAACCTTAAAGTTGATATAAAAACCTAAGTTGAAATCTTAGAGTAGTTTTGATTTGCACTTCTCTATGCTAGTGATGATGAAATTTTGTTCATTTATTTGTTGATTGATTGTATGTCATCTTCTGAGAAGGACTTAAAAACAGCATACTACAGGGACACAACCACATCAATGTTTATAGCAGCATAATTCACAATAGCTGAACTTTGAAGCCAACCTAGATGCCCTTCAATAGATGAATGGATAAAAATAATGTGGCATATATACACAATGAAATATTACTCAGCAATAAGAGAGAATAAAATCATGGCATTTGCAGGTAAATGGACGGAATTGGAGAAGATAATGCTAAGTGAAGTTAGCCAATCCCAAAAAACCAAGTGCCGAATGTTTTCTCTGATATAAGGAGGCTGATTCATAGTGCGGAAGGGAGGGGGAGCATGGGAAGAATAGATGAACTCTAGATAGCGCAGAGGGGTGGGAGGGGAAGGGAGAGAGCATGAGATTAGAAATGATGGTGGAATGTGATGGACATTATCCAAACTACATGAATGAAGGCATGAATTGGTGTGAATATACTTTGTATACAACCAGAGATATGAAAAAATTTTGCTCTACATGTGTAATATTAATTATAATGCATTCTGCTGTCATATATAAATAAAAAATTAATTAAAAAACCCAAGGTAAGCACACTAATACCATTATAAGTAGTTATGGCTATTCCAGAATAAAATAAAAACATTTTCTTTTAAAAACAAAAGAATCCTAGAGTACCAACTATTGATGAGTTCAATTGAAGGTAGATCAGTCTGGATTTGATTTTACAAAGCAATCTGCTTGGTCAAGAGTCTCCTGGCATAGATAGTAAAGTCAAACTAAAGAACATGGTGGAATAATAAAGCCATGTTCTTGTCGGTGGTAATCTGAATGGAGGTTATGTAGTTGAGTTCTCAGGGTCCAGCTATGCTGGAGCATGTGTTCTCTAGGTCTCTTAAAAGAGCTCTATGGAAATTTGTGTTTTGACTTGCAAGTAGTATGCTTGCCACACAATTTAACTTTCTTAGGTGGAAACTTTAATATGAGTTTAAACACCATTTAGGTTATAACCCACTCAGGATAATTTGGAAATGAATCAGAGTATTTTATAAATAATTTAACTTGCTAATAATTAACTCTTTGTAGCTATTTCTTATTATGAATACCTACATATTAAGGGTATGAACACCTTGTTGAACTGAATTAAACTAATTTAAATGAATTTAATGAGTTTAAATTTAAATTAAATGAAGCTTCACTATTCTTTAGCCTTAAATGCAAACCTTAAAAAAATAAAATTAAATTAAAAAAAAAAAATGCAAACCTTACAGTTTTGTCCAGGACATGTTAAGAATAGGCTATTTTTATTTGTGTATTTTCTCATCCATGCATTTAAAACTGACACTTTCTCTTTAAAATATCTTGTTGTTTTATCTTTTGTCATTGTTGTTTTAATACATTATGAAACAATTACCAAGAGAAACTTTGAAAAGAGAAATGTGCTATCTCTTAACAGATAATCAAGCTACGTGGAAAGGATAATGTAATGAAATTAACATTTTTTTATTCAGTATATGTTAAGTGACAAAAAATACTTAAAGTGATTTCATTTAGGCATTTCCTCTGGTCCATCTGGTCTGCCTTTTTTTTTTTTTTTTTTTGATAGACATAAGTGACTCATAGGAATGGATGAATGGTCACTTCCTATTGCTGTTCCACAGTGTGCAAGCTAAAGTCCCTGGGTTGATTTGCAGGTCCTCCAAGTTCACAGGGAGAACTCCTGTGCTCCCAGAGCAGTTTTTTCTCTGCTGGATATATTTTCCATTGTTAGAGTTTCTGTTATCCATTCCTAAGTTCACACATACATGGTTCAGTGAGCCCCTGCAATGTACCAGACACTGATCCAGGCCTTGAGGATAGTGTGACCACAACAGAAAGGACTCAAAACAACTTGCATCCTGGTGGGAGAGTCAGGCAATAGGCCCACAAATGAATGTGATTGTAAGGGCTCTGTGTCATGGAGAAAGGAGGGAAGGGGCAGAGAAGTGAAAAGAGGGTATTCAGGGATGACCATTTTATAAAGGTGACCTGTGAACAGAGACCTGAAGGAATGGAGGGAGCAGACAGAACAACAAGTTCCAGTAGCATCTCTGATGGATTCTAGAACAGCAGAGAAGACAGTGTGGCCTGGAAAATCATGCCTATGAGAGAGGGAAGTAGGTATGTGTGCAGGGGGACAAGATGAGGACTAGGGTAGAGGGCCTTATAGGTCTCAGTTGGACTTTGCTGTGGGTGAGATGGGAAGCAGTTGAAAGGGTCTGAGTCTGGGAATGGTGAGATAGTGAAGATTTCGAAGAATCCCTCTAGCAGAGGAGTGGAAAGACATCTAGGAGGTTGGAAGCTTCTGATACAGCAATGATTAATAGTGAAGCAGGGAGTTCAGATAGTTAGGAGGCAAAGGAGAAAGAAACCAAGAAAGGAAACCTGCTCTTGATGATTCTTCTTTCTTACATGCTGTTGACTTCCCTCTGTGTGCAAGCCAGCTTGCTGCCATCTTCATCTGGGTTTGCCCTAGACCTGGCTCTCCCTGGAACCAGGCTCCTCAGAAAGTTGCACAGAATAAGTGGCTCTGGGCACTGATTCACTGCTATAGGTCTAGAGCCTGCCTGCAAATCCAAAATCTGTTGTTTACTCACTGTGTGAATTGGCTTAACCTCTCTGCCATCATTTCCTCATTTGAAAATGGGAATTCTACTTGCCATTCTGCAGTGGACTGCTCTTGGGATCATGGTATGAGGTAATATTCAAAGCCCAGCACCTGGTGGGCACCAGTGAGTCATAGCAGTCAGTGTGGCTGATATGGGGTGCATGCATATTCAAAAGACTTCCTAAACAAAATGTTTCTGAAATAAGGAAGGGTGGGTGGGCGTTTTATTCTCACCGAGGGGTTTCCGTGTTGGTGAGGGAGGGAACAGGGAGTGTTTTAGTTTGCTAAGCCTGCCATCACAGAGCATCTCGACTGAATAGCTTAAACAACAGAAATTTATTTTCTCAGAATTCCAAGAGCAAGTCCAGAAATCTAAAATCAAGGTAACAGCTTGGTTGATTTCTTCTGAGGCCTGTCTCGCTGGCTTGTAGACGGCCATTTTCTCCTTCTGTCTTCACATGATCCCTTCCCTGTGTGTGTCGGTGTCCCTGTCTCCTCTTTTTATAAGAACTCCAGTCATATTGGACGGGGACTGACCCTAAAGACTACCTGTTAACTTAATTATCTCTTTAACGACCTTATCTCTGAATATAATCATATCTGAGATAGTAGGGGATAGGATTTCAGCATAAGAGTTTTTTGGGTGGGGACACAAAAAGCCATAACAGGTCTGGAAGTACGAGGCCCAGAAGGTGGCTATCTTTAACCCCTGCTCACAGGCTGACATTCCGTGCCTCTGACTGTCCTTATCAGTTGGTTCCCAGGTTGCATGTGCCCAGAGGAAGATAAGCATGGGGAAGGGTGGGTGGCCATCAGCTACCTTCCTAGATCCCACCATGAGTGAACCATCCTCTGCAGTGGCCCTTGGATCTGGAGTAGGATGTGTTCTCTTTCCTGTGTCCTTAGTTGACATCATCTTTGTCTGTCTCCCTGACCTCTCCTCCCTCTTTGGTTCTTCTTGACCTGGTGCGTGGACTCACTTTTATCACATGGACTCCGGTTTCTCCATTCCAGCTTCATTCTCGCCGGATTGATGTTCCTAAAATGTAGTTTTGATCCCACCACTGGCTTTACATCTTTATTTGACTAAAGATATGGTCTTCTGTAGTCCAGCCCCTTTCCAGCCCAGCTGGGCTCTGTTCCTTCCTCTAGGGGACCATACAGGCAGGATTTGACTCACAGTAGAACCCATGTCTGGCCAAACAAATGTGGTGGCACATGCCTGTAATCTCAGTGGCTCCTAAGACTAAACCAGGAGGATCAGCAATTTAGCAAGGTCCTAAGCAACTCAGAGAGACCCTGTCTTTTTAAATAAAATATGAAAAAGGGCTGGGGATGTGGCTCAGTGGTTAAGTGCCCCTGGATTCAATGCCCAGTACCAAAAAAAGAAAAAAGAAAGAATCTGAGTCTTGACCCTTTCTGGACCCATGGTCTTGCCTCTTTTAAGCTCATGTGAGCTACTTCCTCTTCCATAACTCTTCTTTGACAGCTGCAGCTAGCAGTGGGATGTCTCTTCTACCTCTGAACTCTGTCTATACTTTCAGTCCTACTTGCTGCCACAATGTTCATGGAACCCAAGGCTTTAGGATTTGCTCTGCCTACTTAGCAGCTGTGTGAGCTTAGCAAATTACCTAACCTCTCTATCCCTATACTAACACCTATAAAGTGAGAATAATAATAATAATCACTTAGGGTTCAGTAAGAATTAAGAGAGATTACATATGATGCTGCTGTTACTAGTTAAGGAGTAATTGGTACTATTTAAAGGAGTAGTAGTGGTTATATTAACAGATATTTAACAAATATTTTTGATTCAGTGATACATTGAATAATTTACCTACAATTCTGCCCCAGAATGGAGTTTCTCCTGTGCTTACAAAACAAAACAAAACAAAACAAAACAAAAAAAACTCCAAAACAGTTATTTTTGAATGCACAGAAGAAAATACACACTAATGCATTAAGGTTGTTTTTTTAATTCTATATTTAAGATGTTGCTCTAAATATAAAATTTTAATTATGTCTGGTCCTGAGGACCTAGGCTGTGGTCACTAATGACCACTCAAGCCCTGTTGCCCTCACAATCCTCTCCTCTTTCCGTCCCCTCCCCTCCATCCATATATTGAAGGGGTCACATCTGATGGAATAGGCAGCCCCTGGCTCCCACAGGCCTTCCTGGTTAAGCATTCATGCTGTGCCTGTTGTTAAATTTTGAATTTAATCTGAGAACTGGGTTTATTTGCATTTGTTCCTGAATGAGAATTTCTCTTGGTTTTTATGCCCCGTGTAGCAGGTATCTTTTCTACAGGGACAGATATACCATAGCACATCCTAAATCGACCTGGCCTCTTTAAAGACATTGTGACCACACAACTAAAGAGCTGATCTAGATACCTAGGGATGTCTGTCAACATATGCAATATGCTGGGGAGGCCTGGGTCCTGTTTTTATTGACTGTTCCACCCTCAGGAGATAGTGACAGCAATGCCCAAGGAACAGGTAGAACCTGAGGCCACTGTGGCTCCTGGTTTTTGCTGCCAGCCCATTTCTCATGTATCTTGCATAAAGGCGGAGTAGTCCTGGAGTCACCCAGCCCCATTTGGTTCTTCTCTCTAAGCGCCTGGTCCAGTAAAGTGTCACACAGAGAACTGCCGGGACTGGATAGACCAGTATGAAGATTGAGGCAGAACAGCATTGTGTGCTGGAGGAGCATTGATTTCTGAAGGGGAGCCGAAATCTTGCTCTGTAGTAAAGGTTTGCTGAACAGGTTTATAGCTCATCTGCCTCCAAAGCAGCTCTAGAATCCAACTCTAAACTTAAGATAGAGCCTGCCATGCTCCTCATTCTTATTTGCAGCAAATTCTTTTAACTTCTCTGGGACTGGTTGTGAAATAAAGATTATACCCTTGACCCAGCCATGCCTGGGGTTGTTTTGAGGAGCAAATGAGGTCAAGTATGCTTTGCAAGTAAAAGGTGCTACTGTTGGTTTTGTTGCACTACATTATCAGGGGGTGGGAAGTGAGTAATGACAGTTTATATTCCAAGGCCACCAGTTTTAACCTGGTCATGACACCATAATGTCCAGTAATGGCTGCATGATGCTTCTGTCTGAGAAATAGCATGGATTGTAAAGAACTGGGACCCCACACAGCCTGATGCAGTAGCTCAAGGTCAGGGTTTCCCATGTACCTGCTTTATGCCCGTGGGAAAGCTTCTCATCTATAACAACAAGAAAAGCAACACTTTATAGTCTATTTAATACATTATATTATTGTATTATTGATAAAAATTAAATTAGTTAATAATTGTTAATAATTAGTAAATATAACTGCCCAGACCTGTGCCTGGTGCATAATAAATGCTACAATATATTAAATAAAATCATTTATAAAAAAACTTGTTTTTTTCTTTTTATTAATTTTGGAGGCTTTGGGTTGTCAGACCTGAACCATTTCAAAAGTATCTCACAAGTCTTCTAAACTTTCCATACAGCATATATTTGCATAAACTAACAAAATTAATGCTTTGGGAATCACATGTTTCTAAGAATACATAGAACAGGAATGTGAATACATTACCCACTTTGTCCAGCAGCTGCCTTGCTCTGATACCTTGTGGTTTTTCAAGGAGAGAGGAAAGAGGAATGTGGTTAAAAACCAAAGAACATGCTGGAAATAGAGATGCCCTTACTTCATTGTGTCACTCTTTTCCCATTGCTGTTCCATGAATACGTAGCCAGGAATTTAATAGTAGGTCCTCATCGAACAGTTTACATCAGTTGTTCTGCTCATAGTTTCTTAATGGAAAATGTAAAGATTGCAGGTAAAATCTGCTTTTTAAAATCGCAAAATTACTTTGTTGTCTCTACTGCCCCCAACAGACTGAAGACTTTGGTAGACCACCTCCTTAGCCGCTTTAGGAAAAAAACCACCCCTAGTTTCTTTGTAAGAAGATATTTTGCAGGCACTGATATTGAGTTTGGAGCTATTGATTAAAAGAAAATACACTGTTCATTGTCATTTCTCAGAATGAAAAAAATAGCTAGACCTTTTTCTCCCTGACAGAAATCGACCGCCTGTTTTTGCCTCAGTTGAAAAACCATTCTGACCTAATGGGTGGCTTGTGGCAGACACCATTATTGAACAGCAGCCACTAATTTAAAAACTGAATCAGCACTGAGAAGTATCGAAATGACTGGACTTAGCAGAATTTTCCAAATGATGCACTTTACCAAACCATGAAGGACAAGAATTACTTAAGATGACACACAAAGTCTGAATTGAGTTTTTTACTTTATTTTTTTTTAAATTGAGGTAAAATTCATGTAACATAAAATCAACCACTTTAAATGAACAATTCAGTTGTGTTTAATTCAGTCACAATGTTCTTCAACCACCGCCTCGTCTAGTTTCTAGTACATTTTAATTACCCAAAACAAAACCCTGTCCACCGGAGGTAATTACTTCCTATTCTCCCTGTGTATTTTATAGAAAGACTAATTATATGGATTCTGTATGTACATGTGTTATGCACATATGTGTAATGTCTTTTTGTTTCAAGGATGAATGATCACATTAAAAATGGAAATTTAGCCAGGTGCCATGGCACATACGTATAATCCCAGTGGCTTGTAAGGCCGAGGCAGGAGGATTGCAAGTTCAAAGCCAGTCTCAGCAACTTAGCAAGACCCTGTCTCAAAAGAAAAAAAATAAAATCGGCTGGGGATGTGGTTCAGTGGTTAAGTGCTCCTGGGTTCAATTCCTGGTTCCAAAAATAAAATAAAATTGGAAGTTTAGGTAGGCTTGACCTTTTCAGTAAAAAAAAAAAAAAAAGGCTACAATGGCCAGGAAAGATAACTCCTATTTTCTCTGAAAGCATTAAAGAGGAAGATTCATTGTAAGTCATTAGTGGGCAGGTACAGAATGAGAATGACCCAAAACAGTTGTAAGATGGGCAAAATCTCTTCAAGGTATTGAACTCTTATAGAACCTCAAGGAGTGCTGAATGACCCTAGAAAAAAGCTACGGTTCATGTTAATCCTAGTTTTTCTTATACCATTCTACTTTTTTCATTCTTCCATCCGATTACTTAGTGCCTTGCAAAGGAGAGATAGTCAAGTCATGTTAAAATTGTCAGTGTGGGGCCAGCCTTACTGTTCTGGGGTGGCCACTGCACCCCGCTGGAGTGCTGTGGCATGAGCATGTTCTCCTTCTGGCCTCTTGAGAGTGAGCCAGCTTGCAGCAAATCATTAAATTACTTTAGGCATAGATTAGAGAAAATCTTAAAGGTCTTTAATCTCTTCTCTCCTAAGCATTTATTTCAAATAAAAATACATCTTGATATGGTGAGGTGGCCAGCACCTTGACAGGGTGATTCTTCCTCAGGAAGGGATGAGACACCTGAGGAAAAATGGGAAGTAATGAGTGAAGAAATAAGGGGCAAAGTCAGAATTAGTTTTTAAAGCAGAGTGCATGGTACATTCTTCCAGTCCTAGTAGGAGCTGGAACAGAACAGTTAAAAAATGGCTCCTATTCTTTATTTAAGGGAGAGCATCAAAGGCAGGGATAAGGTTTCAGTGGATGGAGACTTGCTTCATGGTGTCTTGCTGTCAACATGTTGATTGGCATCTTGGGAAGCCACACCCATTTCCTGGAGGCTTTGTGGCTATGTGGCTGCAGCAGGTCACCCCATTTCTGGTGGTGTGTGGGAGCTTTTGGCAGAACTGAATAGGAACTCACAAGTATCTGGGCAGTCTCAACTAGAAGGATTGCCTCTGGAAGTCCCAGATACCAGATTTTCCTATTCACTGGCTGTGATGTGGGTTTGGTCCAAACACAGTTCACAAATGGCTCTCAACATTGTAAGTTTAGCTAATTTTGCATAGCTTATACTACATGTAAGTCTAGTCTCTGTGAATCAAAGTGTCGATATTGCAAATGAATTAGAAAGTTACCTTTTAAAAGAATCTGGCCATTTTGGGAGGGTATCACTAATCATCCTTTACTTTTTATAATTGAATGCAGCTTGCATCTATATAGTCATGTATTGTGGTTGGTTAAAGCATGATGTGATTGATATAGCCTTCATTTATATTCAGGGACAAATAGTTACAATAATAATAATATGGATCAGCTTTTAAATGAAACAAATTATGAATGCAGAATCATATGTACTTGTCCCAGTCTGGTACTGAGAGGAGGTAAACAAATGGAAAAATGAATGGATGGAATAATTTGTTTCACTGTTATAGTATTTATTTGCATGGAATCCTAACTATAATCATAAATAATAAAGTCTTTTTTTAAAGATGTTTTCCACATCAATATTATCAAAGTAATACATGCCCATGATAGGGAATATGGAAATTTTTCTATGTGTATTTCATGCATAATTGTGATCTTATCCTTTGTGAAATGTTGTGCCCTACATTTTTCACTCAGCCTGACAATGTAAACATCTCCCAGTATCTGAAATTCACTCTCAGTAGACATTGTCCTATTTACTCAGAAAGTCATGATGTTATCTATGATGGGAAAAAGATGTTTAATTAAAGTGCTAGCTCTATTCAGAGAGATTGTAGGATGTTTCACTGGTACAGGCCAGAGCACTTATGGACTATGTAATTAGGTAACCCTTAAAATCTGCTTATGCCTCTAGACTCTCTAACTGCTTCTTAACTTTTGGCTCTTTAGCCTTATTGATGGTAAGTTATGTATTAAATATTCTCACACATAGAAAGTTCATTCTGTCTGAACCTGATAGTTAGGATGATGATTTTTCTCAAAATACACAAATAGTAGATGTTGGTACTTTTCATGGTGTTAATTCTAGTCATTCAACCTTTTAAGAAAAATATATATCACCTTTTGGGATTCTATAAGAAAGACATTTTGTTAATATTCCATTTTGATGTGTCGTGGAAAAATGTAAGCTCTGTGCGTGTGTGTGAAGAATGCCTGTTTATTAGATATATAAAATCCTTGAAATTTATCAGGAAAAATTCAGCTTTTTATTCATGTGTTAGTTTATCTATAAATTTATGTAATATGGTTTCTGTATTGATTTAAGTATTTAAAAAACCCACAGTGTGTATTAGGATACTTTAGAAATCAGGATGATTAAATAAATCATTATATCCTAATTTATAAAAAAACATATGGAATCAAACTTTTTGTTTTTCTTTTAGCCAGATGAATTGTACTTTGAGGAAGGCGACATTATCTACATCACTGACATGGTAAGCCCAGCTAACATTTTATAATTCTATTCGTGTACTAAAGATATAAAACATAACACTGTTGCCATAACATTGTAAATTATTTAATTGTATATGTAAGCAAAATATGTATGCATAAGTCTGTTGATTTTGGCACAATTTATAGAAGAATAAGATTGAAAGTAGCCCTTTTGTTCATCATTAGGACAGTAGTTGAATAGACTTTGGTATATCCACAAATGGAATATTATGCAGCCATATGAAGGAATGAAAAATATCTGTATCTGCTCTTATGGAGTAAGTGAAGTGAAAAACAAAAGTGTAATAAAATGCATATGGTATGCCCTCATTTATCTTAGAGAAAATATATATATATATATACCTCTGTTTTTCTCAGTTTAAAATAAAAAGTGAAAAGTTGAGTCATAAAATTTAAAAATTAGTTTTGTCTATATGGAGGAAAGCAAATAGGGTAGAAGGAACATAGAAAAGAGACTTTAAGAAAACTGTACTTTGTTTTGAAGGTTTGGTTTTGGAATTGTGTAAGCTCTTATAGAGTTATAAAATCAAGCAGTAAAAAGCAATTCCTAAAAACTAAAAACAGAGTGAATCCAATGATCTTATTATACCCTAGTAATTGCCATAACCGCACAGAGAGGATGTATTCCAAGCAACTTTAACAGTTTGACTGAACATTCCTGGTAGAATCTATACAAAGGACAGAAAGAACTAAGAAAGGAAAGCTAAAAAAGTAAACTCTAGATTTGTAGAAGGCAAATCACTTACATTGTATGGTTTTTATTTGGGATCCCAAATTATGGTGCAACTGGGATATTTGATATACCAAGGAACTATTTTTGAAAACAGTTTTAAGCTGTGATAATGGTATTTGTCTTTCAAACAAATCCTTATTGACTTGAAATATTGAAATATTATAAATATTGAAATATTTACATATTAAATAATTTGATGCCTGGAAATTATTTCAAAATGACCCCAGAGAGGAGATTGGGGATGTGGGGCATATATGAAGCAGTATTGACCAAGAAGAAATGATTCATGCAGTTGGGAAATGGTTTATTATATTGTTCTTTATACTTTTGCATTGGTTTGCATCTTTTCTGTATGTATTTCAGTAGTAGTGCCCTTGTCTAGAACATAGGAGGTTTTGAGTTTAATTTCCAGCACTGTCAACACACATTTACTCCAAAAATGAAAGTAAAATAAAGAGATCTTTAAAAAAATATAAGTATCTCAAAGATAAGACAAATTAAAATTGGACAAAAATATACTGTAGCTAGTTTAATAAAATTTCCCCCTTGTCTTTCATATTATCTCTGATTTGCTTGATTTTTGACGCTCTATGTTGAGGTGTAATTGAGGTTACAGGTGGATGCTGTGTACTTGTAATATAGTGATAAGGGAAATGGAATCCCATAACTAGGGTGTGAGGAAGCTTGATTAGTGTGGTCAGGGCTGATGTACATTTCATAGTACAGGTGCACCCTGTGTACCAAATGGGTTTAAAAATGACTAAATGCAGCCAGGCACAGTGGCACATGCTTATAATCCCAGCTGAAGAAGGGAGAATCCCAAGTGCAAAGCCAGACTCAGCAACTTAATGAGAA